TTAAAAAAACAAACAACCCAATCCAAAAATGGGCAGAAGACCTAGATAGACATTTCTCCAAACAAGACCTACACATAGCCAAGAAGCACATGAAAGGCTGCTCAACATCACTAATTATTAGAGAAATGCAAATCAAAACTACAATGAGGTATCACCTCACACCAGTCAGAATGGGCATCATCAGAAAATCTACAAACAACAAATGCTGATGAGGGTGTGGAGAAAAGGGAACCCTCTTGCACTGTTGGTGGGAATGTAAATTGACACAGCCAGTATGGAGAACAGTATGGAGGTTCCTTAAAAAACTAAAAATAGAATTACCATATGATCTAGCAATCCCACTACTGCACATATACCCAGAGAAAACCATAATTCAAAAAGATACATGTACCCCAATGTTCACTGCAGCACTATTTACAATAGCCAGGTCATGGAAACAACATAAATGCCCATCAACAGACGAATAGATAAAGAAGATGTGGTACATATATACAATGGAATATTAGCCATAAAAAGGAACGAAACTGGGTCATTTGTAGAGACGTGGATGCATCTAGAGACTGTCATACAGAGTGAAGTAAGTCAGAAAGAGAAAAATAAATATCGTATATTAACGCATACATGTGGAACATAGAAAAATGGTACAGATGACCCGGTCTTCAGGGTAGAAATTGAGACACAGATGTAGAGAACAAACGTATGGACACCAAGGGGTAAAATTGGTGGTGGGCTTGGGTGGTGGTGTGATGAATTGGGCGACTGGGATTGACATGTATACACTAATATGTATAAAATGGATAACTAGTAAGAACCTGCTGTATGAAAAATAAATAAAATTCAAAAAAATTAAAACATAAAATAGCCTAATGAAAAATAGTGGCTATAAATGACCCAATTTCATTCCTTTCTATGGCTGAGTAATATTCCATTGTATATATGTACCATATCTTCTTTATCCATTCATCTGTCGATGGGCATTAGGTTGCTTCCACGTCCTGGCTATTGTGAATAGTGCTGCAATGAACATTGGGGTACATGTGTCTTTTTGAAATATGGTTTTCTCAGGGTATTGGGTCATTTGTAGAGATGTGGATGGACCTAGAGTCTGTTATACAGAGTGAAATCAGAAAGAGAAAAACAAACGTATATTGACGCATATATGTGGAATCTAGAAAAATGGCACAGATGAACCTATTTGCAGGGCAGGAACAGAGACGCAGACGTAGAGAACGGAAGAGTGGACACAGGAGGGGAAGGGGAGAGTGGGATGAATTGGGAGATTAGGATTGACATATATACACTGCCATGTGTACAATAGATAGTTAACGGGAACCTGCTATATAGCACAGGGAGCTCAGCTCTGTGCTCTGTGATGACGTAGATGGGTGGGAAGGAGGTGGGGGGAGGGAGGTCCAAGAGGAGGGGATATACGTATACATATAGCTGATTCACTTCTTTGTACAGCAGAAACTAACAACATTGTAAAGCAATTGTACGCCAATTAAAAAAAAGTGCCTATATTTTGTAAAAGCCAGAGCTAAAGTCCTCATTTAGGCTCTTTAAAAAACCTATCAATGCTCTGTATATTCAAACGATTAAGAAAAAAATGGGAATTGAAATATTATTACCAGATTTTCATGAGTAGGAATCAATATCAGAATTCTTATGTTACATCAAGCTAAGTTTGTTTATTCTATGCTTAGAAAAGAGGCATTAAAAATTTCAGGTATTCTGG